CTTCTCCTACCTTAGGATAGCGCGAGGTGTCCGCTTCGCATTCAAACTGTCTTTATCCTCCCTATTTTCGCTGTGCATTAGGATTGCAAGTTACAATAGAGAAGCTAATTTTGTTCTGGATCACGGCTGCTAGTGAGCACCTAGACATCTTCATCGGCTGCGTCTACATCGGACCACATATCGCAACAGATGAAATCAAAGGTTGGTCGAGTGCTACACCGGAGTTTCGCTGTTACCTACACGCCTTAAGATAATCGGAGGTGACCTTAATGTGCCGCACATTGATTAGTCTACCCAGTCCTCATCCCCAAATATACAGCGTTTGTCAACCTGATGTTCGCATACGATTGGTCCAAAAACGTTAACCTACATACCACGAAATCTATTGTCCTTGAATTAATATTCACGAAAGTTATCAACCAAGCACAATTTTGTTTGCTTGACAAACTTATTGGTCCTGACCATAAGGCCGTAAAGCTAGCATTCAGACTGCCAACAACTAAGCATTACAACCTCTCCCAGCGGTTTCTTCCGTCCTCTACTACACGTCTATTAGTAAAGCTTCTCCACTCTTCTACGAGCCCTTACCTGGGATGGCTTCTTTCTGGCAGCAGACACAGATATGGCGGCCCAAGTTATACAAGCACATTATGTTCTGTCGACGTGGTCGTTCCCAAGCTGAATATGAAGAAACCAGCGAAACCGAAGTGTGTAGCTGATATCCATAGAGTCCTAGACAAACTGAGAATAATGCGCTCCAGCTGCAACAGGACAAAGGATTTCCACATAATAATGCCGATAAAGGACACAATAACAAGATGGAGAATTCGGGAAGCCACGTCTGCCACATCAGCGGAACGCGCTGCACTCAGCGGTAACAACAATTTAAAGCACTTACCTAATTGATAAAACGCATAGCAAACAATAGAGCTCCAACCATTGCCTCATTATCACTTCCTAATGGCAATCTGTTACTGACCCCGCCCAAATTGCGATTATATCAACAAGCACATTTGCAACTCTTTTTTGGTCACTGATTCTACGACCGCGTACAACAACCCAGCTAACCGATGACAAGCTAACCAGCATCGAATTCAACTTACGCGTAATCATGCGAGATAGTCGTGCACTCAAAATGTTTCAATACCACGGTCTCGATGGCGTTTCATCGGTAGCGCTGATACTAGGAGATCCAGACATTTCAGTTCTTCTCCTTAACCTTAATACAATCTCCATGACAAACTACACCTTCCTCGCTGCTTGGAAGCATTCGGTAAGCCTACCACAACATAAAGGGGGAACCCGTCTTGACATTGACAATTATCGTCCTATCAGCCACACACGCACTGCATCAAGATTAATGGAGGGCCTAGTAAAAGCAGAAATTCTCAACTTTCAGTTGCATCGTAATCTTATTAATAAGTCTCAACACGGGTTCCTGCCAGCGTAATCCTGCCAGATAAGTATGTTTGAGTTTTTAAACAACGTCACTGACGCGGTAAATTTAGGACATAAAGTGGTCGTCATGTTCCTCGACGGGAAGAAAGCATATGACCACGTTTCACTTCTGAAACTTCCGATAAACCTCGCCTCATTTGGCATTACCGCGAAGCTGCTCTCCAGGTTTACATCCTACGTATCAAATTAAACACAATCGGGATGCTTGAGCGGCACGACGTCCTTAAGAAAAGCTGTCGGCAGTGGAGTCTTTCAAGGAAGTGGCCTGTGCCTTATGCTCTCCTTAATCTACGTCAAGGACGTCTTCCAAGTCTTTCGCTGGGGAGCGCTATACCTATTCGTGGACAACATCAAAGTCTGTTTTAGTTCGTCTTTGATAATATGAGAGATAATATATCCACAATACACAAAGACCATATGGGTCTAGCAAACGGATGCGCAATACGGAAACTTGAGTTTTCCCTAGGAAAAGCAGCATTCTCTCTTATAGATGCACTGTGTCACCTAGTACCCTTACTCAGTGGCGCTCCCCTCACTGCTAGCCGTCTTGTTAGAGAGCTGTGGGTTAATACTCTAGTTTCTTCAACTTTGCGGAACAGGTAAGTTATAGTGCAGCTAAATCCAGGTCGTTAATCGGCTAGCTATATCTTCAAACGCATGTTGCTTTTGGTATCTCTACTGACACTGGGTAAAGCGTGCACCAGGCCTAGTCTTGAATACTGCTCTATAGTCCTTACGAACTCACGCAAGTGCGACAAGATTGCACTCGAGAACGTACAGCGTTCCTTCACCAAACGTCTACTAGGCTCAAACATGCTGAACTATCGTAGTCGATGCAAACCACTCGGATTGGACCCGCTGTGGTTAAGGAGGTTAAAGATAAAACTTACATCAATATACAAGCTTAAATAAAAGCCGGAAATGAACTTGATACGACACTTCCGAACGGACGGGGATGCCCATATCATCTGCGTAACGCGACCTATTCTTTCAGCCTGCCTGCTGCTCGTCGCGGCATACGCCATGCTTTCTTCCTTCACAGCTACGCGTAAACAAGAAACAAGTTATCTCTGCCAATCCGATCACTTGTGACCCGTACACACTTCAACAATGCTATACGGAGTTCCCTCGACGTAAACACAGTTTCCGAACTATTAAGGCACAAAGTGCCGGAAGACGAGTTATTGGAGACTAGATCGAACAACCTCTAGCAAATTAGCCTACATCCGCTTGTTTGTTCTTTCTTTTCAACGCTTTCCTACTTCATTTTAACCTCGCATCACAGCTGTTTCTGAGGTCATTCGCAAGTCTGCATGCTTCTGGCCTTCCTATCTTTACCTAGACGAGACTGCCTCAAGACATCCATCCTTTTGACCCAAATATTTCGCTTACTCTTCTCTCTAGAAAGTTGAGGTTTTACATCCTCCTCATCATCGTTGCCTATCCTATACGCTAAATGGCTCCACTCTACTAACACGCCTTGACAACTCCGTACATTGTAGTGTTCACATCTCTTGTTTATCGGACCGATTTCTTTACTATTTCATCCGCACCAGCTTATGACCACTTGTAAATTTTCAGGTCTCCTGCAGCACCATGCTACATCCCCTCGCCGTGTATATTGCATTCGGCACTTCTTTTAGTCCATATGGCAAAGCTTCAGTTAGGGCCTAAGTACTCTCCGCTTGAGCTTTGCCTAGGCCCCAATATTTTACTTCTCAGCTCAAATTAACTTCGGCCTCTCTAGTTCGGCATCGCTTTTGGTCCATATTGCAACTGTTCAATGGTGATATAAGTACCATGGAAGCCAGCGCAACGTTCCAGGCCGCGCTAGATTCTCTTTGCTACTGTGCTTCTTATTCTTTAACCTTTTGGATAGTCCGGCCTCTGAGGCTCCAATTGCTTATGGGTCTCAAACCAAGTCTTCGCTTCTTTTGAGCATCGGCTGTTATTGACCAAAATGATCAATGGTAAAACGGAGCTTCAGACTTGTCTCCGCCTGTTTCACTCTTTGTAGGCTTGGTCCTTCTACCGAAATTGAAACTTCCGGTCTCAGATTGAGTTTTGCATCTCGGCTCCACTATCATGCCTCTCAGCTCACTTTATCGTTTCCCTCTGTGTTTTGCATTTCCTTTGGTCCTATCGCAACTGTTCTTTGGTGCTGTGGGTACAACTAACGTCAGCGCAACATCCCAGGCCTCACTAGATTCCCTTTGCTAATGTGCCTCTCCTTCTTTAACCTTTTGTACCAGTCTGGCCTCTGAGGCTCCAATAGCCTACAGGTCTCAAACCAAGGCCTCTGTTCTAGTGAGCATCAACTGCCATAGACTAAAGGTCCCATTGGTATAAGTAACAGCCTCATGATACTACGCTCCGCCTGAGTCATTATCTGTACGCTTGGTCTTGCCTACCGAAGCTGAAAATTCCGGTCTCTGATTGAATTTTGCCTCTCCGCTCCACTACCAAGGTTTTTGGCTAACATATAATATCTCCCTCTCTGGTTTGGCATTTCCTTTTGTCCATATTTCAATTATTCATAAATAAATTAATAAACAAATAGTTTATTCTTAAACAAATAGAGACATACCAAATCAGGCATGATCAAGGTTTATACGCATTTGTGTATCATGACGATACTTCGGGTTCAGTTGTGTGTAGTTGAAAAGGTCAAGGCACAATAAGTGCAATGAAACGATGCATATAGACGGAGAGTATCATATACATACATGTGTCAGGAAGAGTTGAAATATGAGTCTAGTCGACTTGCCAGTATGTAGTTGTGGGCAGTGACTTTATTCAGTGTCGAGTCACATCCGCCAATTCGCAGTATTGTTAAACAGACATTTGTGGCTTTTTATAGAAAGAACGCTTGCCAGGCGAAAACCCACCACGTCCTGCAACACCGCCGTAAAGCATTTTGAACGTTAAGGTATAACAGGTAAAGTCGCGTGACGACTGGTTTCAAATTCGGTTATTCGCAGACAAATGGCCCCTAATTTCTTCTGTTAGTTAGACAGGTAATTTGATCGGGGTGGCCGCGATTGTTGAGGCCGGTTGAGGGGAGGGACATCGTGACTAGTCGTCTTGTTGTGTGTCCAGGTGAGCAAAAGTTCAAATTTCCTGCTGTTTGGAGTTTTCAGGTTTATAAGGTATAGGAGTATGAAGCTTTGTCCAGTTCTCCATACTGGACGACGGTTGTGGTGATTGTAGTTGGGTCCTTTTCATTTTCAACCATGCTCCATGTAAGTCCTTGTCGGTTGTTTAGTTCGTCTTCGGCAAAACTGTTCCTCAGTCCAATCCCAGATCTCCAAGAATTTCCGGACCTTGGAGAAAATGGAAACTAAGGGACAACCGAGAGAAGACCGCAAGAACAGGCATGGAGTTAAACATTGTTAAAGTCTTAAGTAACTTGAAACACTGAGTCCCCATCAGCCACTTCATTAACGCAGTAAGAAGACAGAGGTTGCGATATGTTAACATTTCGATTGCTCTCGTCAGTCGCAACGCAATACAGGCAGAAAAAACACACAATATATAGGGTCCACACTTAGTAACATAGATAAGCAGATAAAAATGATGGGAATGACGTAATCAGGACCAAGGCAATCTAATTGATTGTCTCAGTTGTTTCTGAGCACAGAGTACGGGACACTTCAATCTTATCAGTAGCGCCTCGCCAATTGCCAACAGTGTCGGGTTCCTGTTGCGCAATAGCACCTTGAATGAGTCGATTGGGTTCACCTGGTGACGAGTCAGCAAGAGGTGTTTGGAGATAGACGAGGCAGGGTTCAAATTCATTCTTTGTTTCGCTCCGCCTTGGTTAGACAACAACTGCCTTAGCCACAATGGGAAATGTTCCGCCACCCTTTGAGCTAGCCGGCGACCAGTCTTGCCTATGTAAGTGTCACCGCAACTGCAAGTGAACTGGTAGATGATGTTAGAGGCCGAACTGATTGGCGCGCTGCTAGAACGGATGTGGAGAGGAATCCTTCGTGTGGAGTGAATAAGTCGTAGTTGGGCGGTAGGGTAGGTGCGTATTAGAGCGGACCTGAGCTTGTGACCAACTTCATTTGCTAAGTGATCCCCCTTGAAGGGTAAGAACAGATAAACATTCTTCTGCTCCGCAGTTTGCACGGGGAGCTTCTCCTTGGGGGTCTGCTATGGGTCTGAATGAATTTCTCCGGATACCCATTAGCTAGCAAAGTCCGGTATAAAAACTCTTCTTCAGCCTCGAGTAATTCCGGACTGCATATCCGCCTGGCCCTGTAGAAGAGAGTTTTTACAAGGCCGCGCTTGTATGCAACTGGGGCGAAGCTGGAAAAATGTAGGTATTGTCCACCCCAGGTCGCTTTTCTGTACACCGTGCGCTGCAATGTGCCATCGGTCCTTCTCTTGATGAGCACGTCAAGAAACGGCAGTCTGTCTTCTTGTTCCTTCTCCCGTGATACAGAAAGGTTCGGGTGAATTGATTTCAGGAGGGCGGCAAGACGATCAAAATGTTCACCATCAGTGAAGACGAGAATGTCATCTACGTAACGCTTGTACAGCTTGGCTTCACCTATGCAGGTAGCAACTTTCCTTTCAAGCAGACCTAGGAAGATGTCTGCCAGAACTGGTCCCAAAGGACTGCCCATAGCGACGCCGTCAATCTGTTTGTATGCCGTCCCTTCAAACTCAAATCGCACATTCTCAGTACACACCAATATCAAGTCTCTCAGGAACTCTAGAGGGATGCCCACAGAGAGGTTCCGACTCAAAAGGAATTGGCATAGGTCCTCAACCGTTTCACGCAGGGGCACATTCGTGAACAGTGATTCCACGTCTATTGAATACATGAGCTCCGCGTCAAGTGTCGCTCGCTCCAGTATAATTACCAATTCAAAGGAGTCTTTCAAACAATGCGTGCCCAGGAGCTTACGCACGGGTTCTAGGAGCTTTGCCAACCACCGGGCTAATTTGTGGTAGGGTGAGTTATTCATACACATAATTGGGCGTAGTGGAATTCCCGTCTTGTGCAGCTTCGGCGCGACCCTCATTCTTGGTGTTTCTGTCCCTGTCGGTTTTAGCTGGCGATATTGTGACTCGGAGATATACCCATGAAGCAAAAGAATTTGTAGATGTCTCGTAATTTGTTTCTCCACCAAGATATTGTTGTCCAGCGTCTTGTCAATACGAAACTTGCGTCCATCTCCGAGAATCGACTCCATTTTTGCGGTGTAATCCGCTTTGTCCATTATTACTACACCCGTGCCTTTATCCGGTTGCAGGAAAATTACATCTTCCCTTTTCTGCAGCTCCTTGATTGCAACATAGTGTTCCGATTCCAAGCAACACCTCTGACTAATAGGCGCGTTCTGGAACTGGTGCGCGATATCCACTAATTTTGCCCGAAACCATCCTGCATCATCCGTTGATTTCGGCGATAGGTCGCTGAGTTGATCGAACAGATATTCGAAATTAATCTGTGTGTGGATCCTGTCCACATTCCTCGGCGGTATTCGGTATTTCAATCCCAGCGAAAGAACCTCCAACTGTTCTCCAACTGTTCTGGTCACAAGCTCAGGTCCGCTCTAATACGCACCTACCCTACCGCCCAACTACGACTTATTCACTCCACACGAAGGATTCCTCTCCACATCCGTTCTAGCAGCGCGCCAATCAGTTCGGCCTCTAACATCATCTACCAGTTCACTTGCAGTTGCGGTGACACTTACATAGGCAAGACTGGTCGCCGGCTAGCTCAAAGGGTGGCGGAACATTTCCCATTGTGGCTAAGGCAGTTGTTGTCTAACCAAGGCGGAGCGAAACAAAGAATGAATTTGAACCCTGCCTCGTCTATCTCCAAACACCTCTTGCTGACTCGTCACCAGGTGAACCCAATCGACTCATTCAAGGTGCTATTGCGCAACAGGAACCCGACACTGTTGGCAATTGGCGAGGCGCTACTGATAAGATTGAAGTGTCCCGTACTCTGTGCTCAGAAACAACTGAGACAATCAATTAGATTGCCTTGGTCCTGATTACGTCATTCCCATCATTTTTATCTGCTTATCTATGTTACTAAGTGTGGACCCTATATATTGTGTGTTTTCTCTGCCTGTATTGCGTTGCGACTGACGAGAGCAATCGAAAAGTCTTAAGTTATAACGTTTAGAGTTAAGACGAATGCATGTACACTGTGCAACAATAATTATGCTGAAAGTGCCTTTTGAATATCCTTTAGTATCAATAGCCGTATGGGTGGACTGCTAACGCCTGAGTAGAGACAAGAGCGTTGTTCCAGTAAGTAAACTACGAAGTATCGATTTTTGTGAGCTAAAGGTGGCGTAGGGAGATAGCAAAGTGAGCTAGAATATTGGTGGTGATTGCAAGATGCATGGACAGCCAGTAGCTAGCGTACTACAATAGGGAGCGCAGAATAAGTGAAAATAAATAGGTTGCTGTGAGAGAGATCTAAGGGTCAATTGGCGGTAGGGCACTGGAAAGATTGGAAGCAGATATTCTAAAGGAATCCAGGTTATTGAGATAAGGGTTGGCTCTTAACAAGCACTGGATAACCACATTTGCATGGAGCCGATGACCACTAGCTACTTCTAAAGATAGGTGTGGAATCTGAGTCGACCGTCAGATGGTGGCGCCAGGCAAGACTATCAGTGGCTAGATGTAGCGATTCCAGTCAGACGCTTGGTCACCAGTTTATGCCTATAGGGTCACTGAATGCATCAACAAGCCATCAGAGGTAAGTGATACAGACATTCCAGGAGAATGTATGATGGAGACAAGGGATGTATCCTAGCAAGCTAAAGCTCTGGCCAGAAGGGACATCGAACATACGGCTAATTGTTGCGGTAGTGAAAAAGCTAAGAAGAGTGATATGTAGTGGCGCTAGGATTGAGAGTTTCAGTGGCCAGCAAAGGCATTCGGATTAAGCCTTCTATTTATCAGTGGATACCTACAGTGACAGAAGAAGGCAACAACCAGCGAAGGTGTGATGCAAACAATTCAAAAGAGTAAGTGTTGGAGGGATAAGAAGTTACTCCTGGCGCAAAGATCATTGCTATCTACAGTGACTCGATGCAGCTATAGAGTGGTGACATGGGTAATACGAAGAATTGATAATAGTACTAGGGGAGAGAGAGTATCGGCGTCTAGCAATGGCATTAAGGTGAAACCTTAAAGTTGCTAGTGGCTATTTAACGTGTCCCGGAATAAGTCAGCAGACAGCAAATATATGTAACGCACACAGTCTCAGAGTGGAGTAGAAGAGTGGCCCTTAGCAGACTCCGAATAAGGGCAGAGATGGTTGGAGCCAATGGAGACAGGTGCCAGAAGTAATACGAAGAATTGATAATGGTACTAATTCAATTGTGGTATAGTTATCACCGGCTTAAGCGCAACATCCCATGCCTCGCTAGATTCTCTTTGTCACGGTGCCTCTCATTATTAAAGCTTGGGAAGCAGTCCGGCCTCTGAGGCTGCAAATGCCTATGGGCCTCAAAACAGGGACTCTCATCATTTTAGCATCGGCTACCATCGAATAACGTTCTCACCGGTATAAGTACCAGCCACATGATAGTTGTCTCCGTCTGATGCATTATCTGTTTGCTTGGTACCGTTTACCGAAATTGATTGCGGGCCTACTAAAGCGTGCCTTTCCTGTATATTAATTAATTAGGCTGCCAGCAACTCACTAATTACCGAGTCATAAACAGCAGTCTATTTGATTTCAACGTTCCGCCGTAGATGTCCACCATAGAGTGGCACACCTAGAATCTTTTTGGGCCGATGCTCAAAGTAACGATATTCCTGGTCCTCTTCAGCGCTGGCTCTACAACTATTTTCTCGCTAAAACCGCGGTATTCAAGCCCTTCTCTCTAGTTATTATCGTTGAGGGCCCAGCAGCGGGCAGTCGCTTCCTCATAATTACCTTGCCTCCTATTATCGCCATTTCCTGTCGTCCGTTTGACGGTTTTGCCGCACTGTAGAAGTCCCTATCATTTTCCGTTATTCCAGGTCCCTTTAAGGCTGGCTTTCCAACCGTATTCTAGCCACCGCTATAGTATATAAATCCCATGCTCTTCACAACTTTGGCACTCCGCCTCACCCTTTCACCTAGCTGCTTCTCTAGCAACCGATTACTGAACATGTTACGTTATTATTTTCATGGGTCTCAAACCCGGCTAAGTAACTCAACCGGCTCCCATACATGTTTGAACGATAAGCTTTACCACTGTCGACCGAAAGTTCAAGCTATTTGTTAAGCGCATATTAAACCACTCACTAGGTTCTTCTGATTCCCTCAACTCATTTACCAGTCAACAACGCCTGATACTCGCGGTTTCCACACAGGACTGCTTTTGAGTACGCTAGGCCAATTCGGACAGCATTTTTCTCTCACATTCAGCAAATACTGGGTTTCGTGCTTGCACCTAAAGCTACGGATATGATGCATAACATCTTCGGTCATTCCATTGCTTTCAACTAGCAAAACGTTACCATAAATTTCATACTAACATTAACATAGTCCTGTTCAATTATCTTGGCAGCTTGCCCGGTCCGTTTTTATCTCGCGCTGGTTCTAAAGGATTAGACTGCCTGCAAGGAGCACTTCTAAGGACATAACCTCGGCTCACCCATGGACACGGAAGCAATACGGAACAAATAAATTACCCGCACTTTGCAAACCTGACACAATAAAGGAACCTAGAAGACCATGCAAGGCAATAGAATTCACCCGAGTCGCCCTACATCAACAGCTCCAACCATTTGCGGTGGACTCGGAAGCAGACTACGCAACCATGGGAAACAA